GAGAGAGAGAGAGAGAGAGAGAGAGAGAGAGAGAGAGAGAGAGAGAGAGAGAGAGAGAGAGAGAGAGAGAGAGAGAGATTTCCATCGATAGGATGAGCAACGCACCGGCCAACAGGTAAGTCTCCAACCCCTCTACTTCCATCGATGGGATGTGCAAAATCGAAAGAATCTTCCGCATCGAGAGGATGAGCAAATCGAATGAATCTACCGCTAGAACCCGGAAATTTACACTGCCACTCTCTCTCTCTCTCTCTCTCTCTCTCTCTCTCTCTCTCTCTCTCTCTCTCTCTCTCTCTCTCTCTCTCTCTCTCTCTCTCTCTCCCTCACACTGAAGATTAGCATGGCCCCTTTGCAAGGAATCCAAGGATGACATACGTAAATCAAGAAATGGTCCGCTTTTCTACTTATTTCTGGACAGAACTGTGGCCGCCGGCCGGATGCATGTAATTCCGCCCGTAAATGCGGTCGGGCACATTTAAGATCGTGGTAATGTAAACAGGCCCTCAGTTGGTACACCCCTGAACCATTTGAACTCCACTGGAAGCAGATGAGCAAAATACCACAAATCACCAACAGGCCTAGCTCAGTTGGTACACCCCTGCTCTGTTGAAGTACAGACTCAAGTTCGAATCCAGTCCAGATACCTTCAGATGAAAAACATAAGATCATTCTGAATTGCCCGGGGCCTGTCAGTTCAATGATGGTATCTAAAGGCCATCGCCCTGCTGATCACATTTCTAGGCTGTCAGAGAGGGGGGGGGGGGAAATAAAAAAAATGGTGGTGTATCTTTCCATGCTCTACAGGAGGATTCGTTCTTCCACCAACCCCCCGCCCAAAAAAAAGAAAAAAGTTCATTGGTTCTCGCGTGGAAATTTGGCCAGTAGGGGGCCCTGGTGCTTCGCTCCACGACCTTCCACATGCACAAAAGACAAAGAAAGGTTTGCAATGTATCTTTCCATGTTCTAGAGGAGGATTTGTTCTCATATTAAGGGTCTCGTTAGACACTCCTAAAATAATCCTAAAATTTTTAGGACGAGTCCTAAAGGATTTTTAGGATTTTGTGCGGAGTCGTTACACGCAAGCCTAAAAATCATCTTTTAGGATTCGTCCTAAAAGGTCTCCCCCGGCTGATTTTCATGTGTATATGCAGCCGCGTCGCCAATATTCATCCATTCCTGCCAATGTCCGCCCAATCCCCGCCAACGGCTACCGTTCCTGGCCGTTGCCCGCGTCGACCCGCAGAACACCTCCGATGTCCGACCACTGACCCGACGGACTGCTTCTGCACCAGCAACTTCGTGTCGACGGTGC